TTTTTCACTACAAAACTATCTTTCGAATATTTTATCATAAGGGAGTATTATTGATCCGATTTCACCTTACAAAAAATATAGCTAAAACATAAAAACAAATAGTCAAACGAATGAAACCGACAAAAACGGAGCCCTATTCATTTAACAATTAGCTGCATTTTCGAAACCTACATATTTTAATTAGATGCATTTTTGAAACCTACACCTAAAATATGGGAACACGACTCACGTGATAAGTACAGAAACTAGGCCTGGCAAACGGGTCGTGTTTGTCGTGTTCGTGTCGTTTTCGTGTAACACCTGTTATCTTAGCGGGTCGTGTCGTGTCACACCTGTTATCTTAACGGATCTTTAACAGGTCGGGTCACTTTACCCAATGGGTAAAGTGACCCGACCCGTTATGACCCGTTAAGAAAAAAATATAATTTTTTTTAAATTTGCACATACCACACATTGCCACATAAATATTACTTCAAAACATTAAAACATTTGTCGTTTAAGTACTATATCTACACTCGAAAATAAGAGCCTAATAAAAAAAATAATACATACACTACTAATCTATTACAAATATTAAATGTGCAAGGATATGCAAAATGAAAGAATTTTTGTTTTCAAGATTGTAAGTCTTTTTCAAAAGTTTACACCTCTATCTACAAAATCTTCAATTTACATCGATCATCATGAAATTGTATTGAAACTTTGGCTTGATCTATTGCCTTGAAGAGTTATGTTGAAGATGTTTTCAGTAAGGTTTTCCACGTCAGAACTCTCTTCCGCATAAACTAAGTATAGAAAAACCAAACATTAAAAATCATTCAAATGATGAGAAGTTTACCAAAATAATTATGAAAAAAAATAAAATAATAATACTATACCATATAAAAATATATTAAAATAACCGTTAAATCGTGATTTTTCGTATATAACCGTCGAAAAGCTTTGTCTCGTTACTTGATCTCTGAATGTTTGTTTTTTGTGATTTTTTGTTGATGTGATCTCCAAGCATATACAAACAAGTTTGACGGTTTGGATCGTTGAAATTAGTTTTGGAGAATTCGTATCCCAACAAAACGATAGATTGACTAACACTTAGAGTTTATTTATACTTTCATTAACTATAACATAAGATTTTGTGGTATCCACTTGTGTAAATATTTTAAATTGAAGATCGAATTCATTCATTGTATTCATATAGGGTCAAGGAGTGTACCTGTAAAAAATCATCAAAATCGGAGTTAAAATAACCGTTAAATCGTGATTTTTCGTTTATAACCGTCGAAAAGCTTTGTCCCGTTACTTAATCTCTGAATGTTTTTTTTTTTTGTGATTTTTTGTTGATGTGATCTCCAAGCATATACAAACAAGTTTGACGGTTTGGATTGGTGAAATTAGTTTTGGAGAATTCGTATCCCAACAAAACGATAGATTGACTAACACTCAGAGTTTATTTATACTTTCATTAACTATAACATAAGATTTTGTGGTATCCACTTGTTAAATATTTTAAATTGAAGATCGAATTCATTCATTGTATTCATATAGGGTCAAGGAGTGTACCTATAAAAAAATCATCAAAATCGGAGTTAAAATAACCGTTGAATCGTGATTTTTCGTTTATAACCGTCAAAAAGCTTTGTCCCGTTACTTGATATCTGAATGTTTGTTTTTTGTGATTTTTTGTTGATGTGATCTCCAAGCATATACAAACAAGTTTGACGGTTTGGATCGTTGAAATTAGTTTTAGAGAATTCGTATCCCATCAAAACGATAAATTGACTAACACTTAGGAGTTTATTTATACTTTCATTAAGTATAACATAAGATTTTGTGGTATCTACTTGTGTAAATATTTTAAATTAAAGATCGAATTCATTCATTGTATTCATATATAGGGTCAAGGAGTGTAGTTGTAAAAAATCATCAAAATCAGAGTTAAAATAACCATTAAATTGTGATTTTTCGTTTATAACCGTCGAAAAACTTTGTCTCGTTACTTGATCTCTGAATGTTTGTTTTTTGTGATTTTTTGCTGATGTGATCTCCAAGCATATACAAACAAGTTTGACGGTTTAGATCATTGAAATTAGTTTTGGACAATTCATATCCCATCAAAACGATAGATTGACTAACACTTAGAGTTTATTTATACTTTCATTAAGTATAACATAAGATTTTGTGGTATCCACTTGTGTAAATATTTTAAATTGAAGATAGAATTCATTCATTGTATTCATATAGGGTCAAGGAGTGTACCTATAAAAAAATCATCAAAATCAGAGTTAAAATAACCGTTAAATCGTGATTTTTTGTTTATAACTGTCGAAAAGCTTTGTCCCGTTACTTGATCTATGAATGTTTGTTTCTTGAGATTTTTTGCTGATGTGATCTCCAAGCATATACAAACAAGTTTGACGGTTTGGATCATTAAAATTAGTTTTGGAGAATTCGTATCCCATCAAAACAATAGATTGACTAACACTTAGAGTTTATTTATACTTTCATTAAGTATAAATAAGATTTTCTGGTATCTACTTATGTAAATATTTTAAATTGAAGATCGAATTCATTCATTATATTCATATAGGGTCAAGGAGTGTAGCTGTAAAAAATCATCAAAATCGGAGTTAAAATAACCGTTAAATCGTGATTTTTCGTTTATAACCGTCGAAAAGCTTTGTCACGTTACTTGATCTTTGAATGTTTGTTTTTTGCGATTTTTTGCTGATGTGATCTCAAAGCATATACAAACAAGTTTGACGGTTGGGATCGTTGAAATTAGTTTCGGAGAATTCGTATCCTATCAAGTTCCAATGGTGTGTGTGTATATATATATATATATATATTTATTAAGTAGATTTAAATCTATTTATTTTGTATGTATAATTGACTGATATACGGAGTAGTACATCACGTGTGTCATTATAAAAATAGTGAGATATGTCATATGTGTGATAAAAAGTTAATAAATTAAAAAAAAAAATATTTCTCACCACTTCTATTAATTTTCATTTTTCCCTCTTTTTTTTGTTTCCTTTTCAACTTTTCTTATAATTTTCACTTTTCCCTCCAACATCTTTCCCTAATTCCCTCACTTTTTTGTTTTATTTTCAACTTTTCTTATCATTTTCATTTTCCCTCCATTTTTCTTCAAAAAGGGCAGCAGGAATGGAATGGAATCAAATCAATGGATGCATCATGCATCATGCATATTAATTAATAATTATTATAGTTTTTATAAAATTTAATTCAAAATTTAATATATATATATATAATTATATAATTATTATAGATAGTTTATATTTTGGGGGTATAATTATTATAGTATATATAATTATTATAATTATTATAGACTTTATAGTTAATTTAATATATATATATATATATTTATTATAGTTTTTAGAGGTATAAAATTGTTAAATTAATGTATATAATTATTACAGTACTTTTTTAGGGTTATAAAATTATAAAAATAATATTCTACTTATCGTATATCGTATTACTCACATGTATACCCGAATCAACCCCGTTATCTTAACAGGTGCTTATCGGGTTACTCGATAACGACCCGATTCGTTATCGTGTCGACCCGATCACCTGTTAATTTCGTGTCGTGTCGTGTCGGGTTATCGGGTCGTGTCAAGAATTGCCAGGCCTAACAGAAATGAAGCCCTGGTCATATAATAATCGGCTGCATTACTGAAACTTTAAATTAAACCAAAATTGGGGAACATGATAAGTTCAGGTATAAATAAAAATGAAGCCCTATCCATAATAATCGGCTTCATCATTGAAACCTTAAATTAAACTTAAAATGGGGAACACGATCAGGACAGGTATCAACAAAAGAATGTGTTTTTTTTTTATTTTTAAGTTCAATGAAGAAAAGTAGGCGAGATTAGCACTTCCATAACGGTCGTGTGTAAAACACTTATCCTTTCCATAGCGATGACAATCCTTTCCGTAGCGATGATAATCATTTCAATCTATGAATATTAGTAACTAAGGTCGTCTGTAAAGCACTTACAACAAAAGGGTGATACATACTAAAGAGATCATTTTTTAATAAGGAAAAATTAGGATTCAGTCCTTAGTTACTAATATTCATAGATTGAAACTTTATTGGTTTTCAGCTTTTGATCAAAGTCCATTAACTTTGTACAACTTAGCATTTTACTAGGAAAATACTTCCATGTCATCTTTTAAGAATGTCTATATTACAATATTTAATATTATGTTTTTGAACAAACAATATTATCTACACTAAAGGAGTGAGACAATAAGCTAAGCATCACAATGGACTAGCAATAATGTGACTCAAATAATATTTAATATAATGTTTAATGTAAAATATAAATAGTTGACATGGAAATTCATTAATGCTAATATGATGTGTCCAAAGTCAAAGGACTTTGATCAAAATCCAAAAAACTAATAAGGTTTCAATCAATGTACACTAGTGACTAGGGACCGCATCCAAAATATCCCTGTTGAATTATATTTTGTAGATCACAGAGTTCTAGGGTTTGCAATTCAGAACCAGGAAACTGAAACCGCATTGCAGCGTCTGAATCCAAATGTAAAAAAAAAAACTAGAAAAATTGACACTGCAGTGTCTAAATCCAAATGTAAAATCAGAAAATAAATACTTGTAGTGTGATCTGTATTGACCTATTCCAAAATATAAGAAATGAGGTGTCAGTTGAAGTGGATGCCCGCTGTAGTGGCAAATTCTCTAATTTTAAAAAAAATATGTATTTAAGTATCACAATACACTATATATTAAACTACTTATAATTAAAATAAATATTATTAATATTGTAACTTTATTGATTTTATACAAAACCACCCATAATTTAAATAAATAATTATTTTCCTCTTCTTCCTACCGTCAATTAATTGATTTTATGATGAATGCTAATGATCTAATAATTTCAACCGATTATAAATACAAACCATTGTGCACGGTACCAAACACAACTCCCATCCCCTTAACAAAAATGCACAAGATGAGATTCCTACTAGCTGCTGCATGCCTTGTTTGCCTCAATGTCCGAGTTATAGAGGGACGTCCGGGAGATATCGAATTCTCTACACAGGATGCCACCGGAAGTGAACTGCGCGGCCTACTGACGAGGAGTGACCACGGTAGGCAATTTATCAGTGCCGAACTCGAAACCGTTCGTTTTGGTTGATTTTTCAAACCGTATTGGAAGAACCATCATCCTAGCAATAGACAAGGAGAATGCCAATGTGGTGGCTTACGTTGGGGGCGACAAATCCTACTTTCTCAAAGACGCTCCGGTTGCAGCTCTCAACACTTTATTCCCTCCCACAACGAGCTTTTATCTTCCATTTACCTCTAGCTATACTGACCTGGAGAAAGCTGGTCGTAAGTCCAGGTGGGAAATCCCTTTAGGACTCACTCCCCTGGACAATGCCATCACCGCGTTGTGGGAGGGAGGTGATTCCAAAGCCGCGCAGTCCCTTCTGGTGACCACTCAGATGGTTTTAGAAGCGGCTCAGTCCATACTAGTTGAGCAGCGTGTCCGTCATAGCATACAAGACAAAATTGACTTTTTACCGGACGCTGGAGTCCTAGCCAACAGTGGCTGTCCTTCCGAGTGGGCTGCCATGCATGCTCCTGTGTCTAATTATGTATGTTTATCTATGTTAGTATTAGGTACTTTGTCTTCAACGTACCAGCACATAAGTACTTCTATAGCTTGTTTATGTAACATGCTTTTGTAAAATCAGCCGAAATAAGTGTGAAATTATGTAACAACTATGCTCATTCCAAGAATCAGAGGACAAGGTACTTAAGTTTTCCTTCAGTTTTAATTTTTTTTTAATACAGTAGTCTATGATCTTTTGATTACTTCCTCTCATCACGTGAAGGAGAGCAAGACTTTTGGGGTTTCTATTTGCATCTTATTAGTTTAATTGGTTTGAGACGGGATGGCCATATGGATCCTCTGCTTGATTTATGTAATGGTAGGATCTAGTTTTATTAGAAAGCAACTAGTTTGTCAAGAGCATGAATTGATGAAATTTGTAAGAGTTCAGAGAAAAAAATAGGAAAGTTGTAGCTATAAATCGTGTTTGGTAAGCAAGAAAATTGACGAGGAAGTGAGAGAAAACCAAAGTCACTAGACTAAGGCACGGGATACCATTCTGACAAAAAACAACTCGCGATATCATAAAAGAAACTGAGTCAAGAGAGAAACTGATTTTGTAGTACGAGTAATATTCTAGCTAGTACAATTACATTTAAATATAGAGAGAAATTTGATGCTCACAAGTAGCATATTTGAACGGTACATTTATAAAATCATAATACAAGTGGAGGAAATACGTGTCCTTGCATACTTTATTGACATGTGGAGTACACATATAAAATGGGATATTGTGATCACTTGGATTGATGAGCGTGGGGGTTCAGTTTATACTATTTACATTAAGGGTAGTATGTCAGTTTGTCACGCGCAACTAGACATTATTCAGTTTTACATCAAAGAGAAGAAATTGCAATTTACATACTCCCTGTTTGGGCTTGACCAAGTAAAGCAGCCACAGTCCCCACAAAAGCTGCATTCATATATGTTGTGGGTTCAGAGTGAGAATAGTCTGATCTTGCATCGTTGAACTGGTCATTTACATCTGGACCCCCAACGATTGCACCCACATGAGTATTAGGGTTTGGATTGGAAGCGGAGTAATAGTTGTTGCCACCTTGGCAATCCACCTTGGCTGGGAGGACGGTGATGGAAGGGATTGATGAACCTCTATGGTGCAATTGCGTTGGGTATTTGCCACTAAAACCCACCATGTATGACATGTTCTTGGGGTTGCTTCCTAGGATGTAGTCCACCTGAATATAAACGATTGAAAAAAGGTTGTCGTTTCTGTTAGTTGTATAAGTTGTCTAGTGATAGAACATAAAAATTTGAGAACACTTAGGGTTTCTTGTATCTCAAGTATTGTAATCATTTATACGTGTAGATAGCTTTTTGTAGATTAAGGAATCTTTTCCTTGTAGCTAGCCTAAGAATTATGGTGTAGGTATAAAGCTATTAAAGAAATCATTCGATTTAGTATTTCTATACGTAGGGATCAATGATGTACATCAAACAATACTTAAAATGATACAATTTACCAACAATTTGGTTTAGCGATACCGAGGGACAGAACTAGGATTTTTTTCTCAGGTGGGTTGTATCCGTAAGCTACACAACCTAACAAAAAGCCTTCGAATGTTGTTTTCCACATATGCAACTAGAATATACTATATGAACATGTTTGGACCTTAATTTGGTTGTTATTGACACTTCAATAACTTATTGTGCACTTCAAGTTTTCTCTATTTTGAAATAGAAATACATTTGTGAGAAGTGCATAATGAATTTTTAGAATACCAATAACAATACCCAAACAAAAGTGTTATGAACAAAACTCGACAGTATGAAAGACTTTTATTGATAATTAGAATTATACATCTATTTAGGGAGACGTAATAAGTCTTAAATACATACACGAAAACATACCACTGTTATCTTAATTAGAATTACAAGAGTACTACGATTATCTTCAAGTTTTAGTTGGTAAAATTACTTAATTGTTGGTAGCCACATTTCACATGGCGTGAGAGAAAGTGATATGGGCGAAGAACTAAAGTTTCTCAACCCTACTCCTAAAAACTCAGGTGGGCTGTAATGGGATGTATAATTGATTTAATAAATACTACTATTTTCTTTTTCCTAAAATTCCACGTGGGCTACAGCCAAAGGCTGCCCACACATAGGATCCTTCCGTGGCGCCACCCAATCTCCAATTTATTGAAGAGATTTTTTTAATATGAGAAATTTTGAGATTGTTAATCACCTGATATTTTGCAAAGGTTCTGATTTGGGAGGTAGAGAAAACGACCGAGCCGCATTGGACTCCACCAATTTGTGCTGCAGTTAGGGTTTTGGAGTAGATGAATAGCACCAGGGTTGAGCTTGTTACATATTGCAAATTACTACTATCTCTTGTAAAAAGTAGTCCACCTGCAACATTAAAAAAAGTTCCTCATATATTAATAATCATAATCAGTCACCAAGAATTCATTTCTTTATTTGATCATTAAGTTATAAACATGTGCACCTGGGGTTCTTCTGATCTGTACCGAACTACTCCCTGGCATCAGTGCGCATACGAACGACTGGACATCGCTATTGTACTTAGCCAAATTCGTATTTCCACTGAAGAATTCCTGTGAAAATTTACGAATTAACTTACTTCTTTTTAATTATCCGTAAAGAAAACATTAAAATGACAGTAATGATAAATAGTAGTGATACCTTGGCTAGTAATGTCTGAGCTCCAACAAATTTGTTATCCCAACTGAACTCAGACACTGCCTGACTCCATGCTTGGTTGCTCGAGACATAATTCAAATACTTGGTGTCTGCACTCGCCTTGTATAGCCAAGCCGCAGCCCATAACAGCTCATCCTTAAATTGGACAATTCACAATAAACCAAATATATAAGCTCATAGTGAGTGCAATAAGAATATATTAGGACCAGATTCGTTTGTATACGAAAATCTTATACTTCTATTGAAAAAATATCGTACATAAATGTCATTTATGTAGCATTACTATGGTGAATAATTAGGAATATCAAAGTGTTACCTACTTTTACTTTTGGTTTTTACCTGATAGCCAGAGTAGGAGCAGTAAAATGGGCAATAGCCTTGGTAAGACGCTCTATGCTGGTCTGCCAAGTCAAACAGCTGTATATACAAATTTATTTCAGTAAGACAAAATTTGTTTGAAAAGAGATGAACTCAAATTAATTTTTCTCCTTACTGATCGTGAATGGTTTAGGAGCAACGTGGAGTAGTTGGAATCAACCACTTTAAAGACAAGTGAAGCAGCGGCAAGGGCAGCAGCAGCCTCAGCTGCTGGCTCGGAGCCTGGAGAAGTAGAAGTGATATTGTAAAGTGTTCGTGGCGTATCCATGTCCTCAGGGCGCTCCCAGCACTGGTGATCCGCATTTGCATCTCCCACCTATATTATTGATGAACTGAAAATTAACGTGACATAAAATAAAACCATTCCCAGCATTTGAAACCCTAGGGGTCAAATTCACCATGGCTGACCACATAATCGTCCAAACCAAACCCTAGGGCCTATTAGTTGTGTAGCTCACTTTATATATTCATATAAATCGAACTAAACTTTGAAGGAAGTTTTTTATTGACATTGCTTACTACTGATTTTAAATTGCTTGGTTAGGGTTTATGGCCAATATAACATACTCTTTACTGGAGTAGGAGCCGATGACGAAGTCATTGGAGTGGGTGTGTATTTGCCGTGGGGGGATGATAGCACTAGCAGTGGGTGGGTGTCCTTAATATGTGCTATGGGGAAACTTAATATGAGTCCAATTTTACGAGCCATTATTAGTTATAGTCCAATTTTGTTTAATTTTTAGGTTAGGTCCAGTGATTCATTATCCACATAAACTTATTTGTATTCTTTTGCCAAATTTACCCTTAAATTGACCAATTAAGTAATTACTGTTTTTTTTAAGTTTGTGATTAATGTTAATCTTATCCTTAATTATAGGATTAGGGATTTAAATCTCGTTTTTTTCTTCTCCTTCCCCAAATCGTTCATTTCTCTTTTCTTGTTTCTCCCTCACAATATCTTTCTCTTCCTCCGTTATTTTTCCCAGTAGTCTTCTACCATAATATTCTTCTTCTGCTCCTCCTTTCATAAGGATGATTTGATTGGTTTAAAAAATAATAATAATTGTATTAGTCAATCTTGTGCTTTGGGTTCTTCGTCTCTTTTTTTTTTTTTTGGCTTCATTCTCCTTTTTATATATATATTTTTAACTTTGAAGTTCTATCGAATTAGCATTTTCTTTAGTTTTTCCTCCCTCAATATCATTTTTCTTCACGATTTTTTTTAATTTTTATCTACCTATATCACTTTTCCTTTTTTTTTTTTTTTTTTTTTTATCTTTTTATATTATATTGTGCATGTATCATGAATAATTGTATTTATCTACCTATATATTACATATTTTGTTGATAATCTATCTAAGATTAATTGTGTTTATCTACCTATATATCACAAATTAACTGAGTTATCTACCTATACAATAAGTTTCTGTTCATAGTCTATCTGTATCATAGATTATTTTGTATTATCTATCTATACAATAGGTTTTTGTTCGTAGGCTACCTCTATCATAGATTCTATCTACATCACAAATTTTTTATCTACCTCTAGCAATGTTTCTTTTAATTTTTTATAAACTTATAAAATTTGTAATAATGTCTTTTTAATTAGAAAACAGGTAGATAAAGGTATTTGAAGATTCAAATTTTAAAAATTCAAATTTAAAGAATTTTAAAAAAAAAATTCTAGGAGCAAAACAGGTGCAATAGAAAATCAAATAAAATTGGACCCAATTCAAAAACAACTGAATTTTTTGGACCTGAATCAAAATGCCCCATGTGCTATATATAGCCATTTTTTTTTTTTTAAATAATTAGTGGGTGTACGTAGATAAGGTGTGGTGTTAAAATAGAAAAACTCATGAAAATGTTTATAATTAAGGAGTCTTTTGATTTAGGCTCAGTCAACATAGTAATTTTCTAATGGTGTGCAAAAGTATAGATTGTTTTTAGGACTGAGTCTAGTTATTTAATTACATATTTTTGTATCAATTATTCAATTTTGTCTTTTTAGATGAAAAAATTTAAATTCATTAACTTTTGTAATAAAGTTATATTATATAAATATATATATATATATATGCAATACAATTCATCTATGTTATAGGTAGGCTATGAACAAAAACCTATGGCATAGGTAGATAGACAATTGAACGTATATTCTACCTATAAGCTAGATATGAAACCTAACTATAGAATACAAAAATATAATGCCTACAAGTAAGATACATTAAGCAATGATACATGTTAATTATAAATATGAATATTTCATATATGTTGATAAATACAATTAACCTGTGGTATAAGTTGATTATAAAAAAAAATTATAAATGGAGTTCGGAACAGAAGAATAAAAATAACAAAGAAAGAAATAATTAAAGAGATAATTAAAATGAAATTAATTTTTATAATAAATCTTATCAATAAGTAATACTTGTTGATAATAAAATAATCCTAAATTTAAGGGATTGGACTTACTTAAGAAACTGGACTATTCCTAATGTTGGTTAAAAAATTGGACCTATATCAAATTTCTCCTTTTTTAATTTAATCAAACATTTATGTGGTTTCAATTTTAATCTAAATTGTGCACTTCTTAGTTGTATGACTTTTCTATATAATTAAATTGGAACCTGGGTATAAAATGTGGTGGCTGAAGAGTGACATTGCAGTATGTAATCTGTGCCCCAACGGATTGCAGTATGGAGATATCCAAGCTGGTTTGCAGAAAATAACGGCTGCTGGTACTCCACAGCAGCCCAACTCAACAAGCTGACACTAAATGCCATTGGCCACCCAAACTTTACGTTGTCACCTGCATCATAGTATCCTCCAACCAAATTCACCTGCGCATGCATCATTGAAACCACAACAAAACATAAATATCGTCATATTTAATTTAAAGTTAATGTTCTCTTGTCAAATATATGTTACCAGCAAATTTATAAATAATTGTTTTATTAAAATTTCACATATTGTTAAATACACCTCATATATTTAATACAACATACTTTTGTTTTTCATTAAAATTTATCTTAATACACCAGACATATTTTCTCATAATACCATCAGATATATACACCCCATATTTTTTATATACACCCCCATTTTACTTTTAGTTTTTACTTCTACGTAATCCGAAACATATTCTCATGAATACTGTCTCATGAAAACATATTCTCCAGCTCCAATTTTCAAACATGGCGTAGTTTCAGAGAGTATTAAAGGGAAGAAACAAGGAGGAAGATACATAGTTAAAATATCATTAGCAGTTTTTTCAAATATAGGGATTCGGGAAGGATAAGATTACTCAAGGAATAACATGGTTTTACAGGAAGATGTATACATTGCCTAATCCTTGTTCTTCATCTAATGGGGAGGATAAAGAGTGTCCCGACAAGCTTATGAAGAGAAAGAGGTTTTGGCAGGAAGTAATGGAAATAAGGCTCTTGGATGAAGATACTTACGTTACAAGATTCTTACAAACTAGATGGATGTAAGTTGAAGAAGAGAAATAATCTTGGGATATACACGTTAAAAGTGATTTAAGGTCTATATCTTTAGATTGTTATTTTTATTTTAAAGAAAATTTTAGTATATAAGTTCTTCAATAATATATTTTATTTAAGGTATATTCAACAATATGTAGGATCCTATTAAAAACCGTTTATAAAAACGTAATAACTTTTGAAAAATAAAAACTATATAGTGCATGAAAATGTAATCCTTAAAGCCACGTAAATAATTAATATCATACATTTTGAGGTTTTCCATCTGAGAGTGCAGAGTCTCCTCTCCAGTTTACTCGCAGGCCGGGGGCCAACTTTCCCGAGCGTTGCCCTTCGAAGAACAAAATGGCCTTACCGAGGGCGTCTCTATAGTCATGAGCTACTGCCAACTCTTCAATTTCGTCCTCCATGGCTAGGGCTTGCCCATCCTTGTTAACCAAGACACAACACAAGACCAAAACCCATACCAGTACTACGAAGTGCTTCATGAAGATCAGTTTGAAATTTTGTAACTTGCTTGTGGCGTTTGCATGCAGTTGCTGAGATTCTGGGAATTTATATTTTTTCATGGATTGTAAATGAATATTTATAGGCAAATAAAGGTCACATCATTATCAAAAACAGTTGCAAATTCTATTATTTTATGCGGATGGTATTATGGGGAATAAGATGAATGACATGAAGGGTGACGCTAATTGAGGAATGGAGAGTCGGGGACCGAAAACTATAGGGATATGTCATTAGGGCATTGTACCCATTCATGAACGTCATTCTACCTTGTTTTGCACTTCTTACTATCATCGATATTTTACTCGCAAATTATAATCACCAAACTTTCTATAACCGGTAAACAAATGAATGTGATTTTTCCACAAGCACAAAAAATAACTAAAACAATATATTAAAATAATGATAAAGTAGAAAAAAAAAAAAAAAGTTCTACAACTCTAAGTTTTATACAAAAACACTTGAAGAACTCAATTGAATGGAAACTCTCCCATCAATCCACTTGTCATGCTTTAATAAATTTTCATTGTGGAATCCTGCCCCTGTTATTAAGTTAGTTGAGTTTTTTTCTTTTTTTTTTAGAGAAATGATTTCCGCACCCCTTTCCTTATCCTTTTGCACACTTTTTGCTTTTTCATGTCCATTGTTCTAATATGATTTATTCATTCCAGAGCCTAGAATAAACCAAGGTGTACAGGAAGAGAAAAATAGTCGAAGAAATCTCTTCCTTTTTTCTAAACTACATATTGAGTTTAAAATGTTTTTCTGTATAGTGCAATGTTATCAAGAATTTACATGTGATAACCCAAAAAATCAAGAATTTACATAGCCCTATAAATAATTGGAAGGTCAGGTCAAGGAGAAAAGATTGACGACAGGAGTATTTAGATATTGAAATAGTTTACTTTTGTAGGCAGCTAAGGCTGCTTATAATAATGCAGGTTAATACGTGTATTACTTTGTTAAGCAGTTACGTGTACCCTTCTCTATCTACACGCAACGCCCCATACCTATCTAGTTTGAGTGGTAAAGCCAATTAGGTAGAGGGTTAAATCAATTGGAGGATGAGGCCATCTACAACTAAAGGTGATTGGACAATATTAGCCGTAAAATTGAAAAAAACAGCCTTCAAGGGTATTTTGCAAAGCATAATGCTAGGGGATCAAATTTTCAAACCAAATTTACAAATCAAATGATGTGTCACGAATGAGAAATAAGCACGATAATCAGCACTTAACTAATAATCAAATCACCAACATCTACATCATTTGGTTTACAAAATTTAATTCAGAAATTTGATCTTTCTAGTATTATCCTTGTGCAAATGAGCATATTTACGACCCAAATCATCCCCAATAATGGCTAAGGAGTGCCCACACTTGGGCATTTCTTTTCCGTGGAGTCCATCACTAAAAGGTAATAAAAATATAAAGAAACTAATAATTAACTCTTTATGGTTGGAAACAAGAAAAATTAACATGCTATTATTGCTTAAAGAGGGCGAAAATGTGAGATAGAATTTGAGTAGGTAGTTAGGCAATATGCTATATGACAAAATACCATAGATCGATATTCAGAGAACACACGCATGGATCTTTTAATGATACAACTAAGCATGTACAAGTACAAGTACATGCACACGCTTCTATATAGTACATATTCAATTATATTCGCAACAATTATGTGACTTCGTATGTTACGAATTCATCTCATTATGGAATGTATATTATAAATTCATATAGTTAACATTCTCAATCCTAACTACTCATTTCAGTTACATTACATGAGTCTTGTTTCTCTTGGTCCGAGATACGTGCGGTCACTCGATGTTTGATCTTAATTCTACAGTGGAGGAAAAAAAATATAATAACAAAAGTTAAGTGGTCACCTATTATTGAATAGAGATCGAACCGTGAGTGAATATAATTTTTTTTTTTTTTTAATTTTTTATTGTGGAGACCATGTGCACACCTTATGAGGCTTTAGGCTTTGTGTTTCTTCAAGCCCTTTAGAGGGAACCGAGCTAGGAATGGGCTGGGCTAATAAATCCGAACAGATTCCAGTAGAACATTTTAATAAATCCGACACCTGGGTCATAGTAATCTGTACATGGAAGATCTCCTAAACCTAACCTGAAAACACTTTCGAGTAATCGCGCTTCCCTTCCCCTTCTACCCAAAAAATTAATATGAATAAAATGATACAACATGGCCTAAATAAATCTAAGTTGCTGGAAAACGCTGTAACAGGTTTTACAAGCTTCGCATTATCGATGCAGGCACGAGTAAGAAACCTTCATTGTCATAGAGCTTTGAATTAACTGTGAGCAGAATGACGACGACGTCAAGGCAGATAACTATTTGCATCCATCAGTCAGCTTCAAAAACTTATTTCTCACTGAGAGAACTGGTGCTGAAAATACGCAACCAACGGATGCCAACTTTGAACTTTCATGGACAAGACTTCCTCAATCGTGTCCATTTAAATGCGAGAGGATGCTTACAAGGGGAAACTGGCCAACTCTTGGCCATGCCTGGTAAGAAGTACTTTCCGTGCACCAACCCATTCTAATCGATAGGAGAGGTCAAGATTTTGAATCAATAGTTTCATATTGTCCGCCTGACTCAAACCCTTTGCGCTTTCCTACCACCCAACAGAAAAGGGACGGTAAAACAAGCAGTTTTGCAGAAGAAATACTTGGAGAGTTCACATGGTCAAACAGAAATAGATAAATGCCTCAAGAGAGATGGAAACAAATGTAAATGTGAGGGAAAATCAAATTTAACACAATGCAGAAATATCATTTACGTTCCACGTAGGAGGGTTACCTGAATATTGGCAGGCCTATCATGTCCCATAATGCTTGCCATTATGCTTGACCTAGAAGAATTAGGTGAGAATCCCTCCCAGGGAGGAACAAAGATCAATTTTGTGCACTGGACAGGAACTAAGTTTCGACTCAGTTTCTCCCACCACGCAGATCCCAATGACCACCATCTGATCATTAATCCATGCTCAGAGAAAGCAACCAGCCCCTGCAATTGGATATGTTATTATAGTAGAAAACACAATCGAACATCCTCTGTCCTTGTGTATAGATATGCTAAATGGTTCCACATGACTCCAACCAAACGCAATACGGTTAATTATCAATAGCAAAAAATAAATAATGAAAATTGATTTACTTGACTAAAGTAGGTTAATAATTGAATGACCAAATCTTTTAAAATCATACCGCTTAGTTTCTATGATATGAAATAAAGAAAATGATAGGTCATGACCTGAGGAGACTGTAATGTTTGAAGCATAGTCTAACGTGTAACAGACCAATAATAAGGGCATTGATTAATAGCTGAGGAAAAAACATTACTTTTCAATTAACACAATGTACCTCTCCATCCGGGGAAAAGCCCAAAGCTGAAATGGCAGTAACTATCATCATTTCTGAACTGGGTGCAAGCAAATTTGGAAGTCCGGGAGGTCCACTTGCATCCAAAACTTTTATCTTCATAACACTACATTGAAAAAACCATACACAAAATTGAAGTAAGCCAGCACAAAATCGAAAGGCAAAAACATCAAATATGTTCATATATTCTGCTTAAAGAGATAAGCACACAACCCCAAAAATAGGTTAAAAATTTATATAAATATAGCTATTACAAGGCTCTTGCACGTACTAATAAATTCTTTGATTATTTATAGCCTTCATATGTTACCTAAGAAAAGATTTGGAAAGAGACTCTAAGAAAAGACTTGGACTACTTGGATCTAACAAAAGACATGACACAAAACTGAGTGCAGTGGCGTTCTATGATTCATATAGCCCACCCCACTTAGTGGGATAAGGCTTTGTTGTTGTTGTTGTAATGTTACATAATCATATATGACGCACAAACTTGCACTCGCACACAAACACATGTATATGTATGTGTGCATTTGCCAAGATACCGGCCCAACCCCAACTGCCAAAGCTAACGTAACATAGATGAAGGGAATGTCACACAAGTTTCTTTGAGGCTTTTTCTTAACCATATAATTCTATCTTTAAATACCTTTGCATGTCATAAACCCGAATACTAGCATTGTTTCTCTCTCCAATCACATCCCCAACGGCCAATTTGGTCCATGTATCATTTAGAGCTACCATTGGGAATGCACGTACAACTTCCTTTAATGCAGTCATTGAAATTTGAAAGCAAGTTTTGCGCATGACTGAGTTGCTCAGGTCCACAGTTTGTAAAATGAAGTCAATTACCTGCGCATATGTCCCACTGTCATATAAAAATTGACAAATGAAGCATAAAAGCATGAGAATCAAACTAATTAAAATACAAAGACAGAGCCACCTTATCCCAATATACAGATCCCTTCCCATTTCTTTCCAGCTATATTATTTCCAATTTCGTAAGAAAGAAATCAAGACTCCAAAAGAAGGTTTGTTCATAAGACAACTAAACACAGTTTTCATATGCATGATGAGATATGAAACCATTTATTGACAATGACATTTAAGTTGGTTATTTGACAAAAAGGGAGAATATGAACTTCTTTATTCAACACGTGTGATTACATTTGTAACCAAAATAAACCTATTAAACTGGAATAAAGATAAACTGGACCATGACTAATCACCTATGATTTAGGTTTAATCATCGAGAAAAGGGAAAAGGATGCGAGCACTTTATAAATACTTTCAATATCCCGCCATCCTCTGGTCATACCCATTGTGCTAAATCTAAAACAATCATAAAGGCCATTTATCTCCGACTCAACATACATGGATGGTGTGATCCATGTCTCCTTATGGTGCTCAATTAGATTATTTTCTATTATTTTCCTGTGGTTAAGACTGTTAGAATTGCTGTTGAAATTGAAGATGGACTGTCTTGCCCATTAAAATTGGCAACACAAACCTTATCAAGGTATTGAGCCAAGTATCTTGGAGAATTACGCACAACCCTGATCAAAGTCATAAGAGATACTAGATGAACAGGGGAATCAGATGCAGTAGACCAGATTTGGCTTTCCATAACAGTTAAAAACCCTGGTACATCAGCCACAGCTAAACTTGGTAGAAGAACACCAACCAAT